CACACCTGCCCGAGGACGGGGCAGCGAGACCAGCACTGCCCACTCTAGCACCGGAAGCTCTGCATCCTAGACGCTCCTCAGTTCTGCAGTTTGCCCAGAAGACATGGAAGCCTGCCCTATGAAGACGCCTCCGTGAGGGCACAGACGCCTCGTTTCTGAAAGCCAAGTGCTGGCAACAGGCCGACTTCACCTACTGCCCAACAGAAGGATACATTGTGTCTGTCTGGGCGCTGGAACTGTTACCCAGCAATTAAGGGAATGATGCGCTGGGCGGCTCTCGGAAGAATGACGGGGCGTGAAAGTGGCTGGGCATTCAGTGTGCCGCCCCCATATCTCCAGCCCCCAGCACAGGACCCGGGCAGAGGGCCAGGGCCAGGGCGGCAAAAGGGACCCGGAATCTGGGGCGCTGGGGGCTTTCCAGAGGCAGAGAGATGTCTCCATTATGACTCCGGTGGCAGCTACGTGAGCTGTCGAGTCCGGGCAGAGGGGACAACAGGCAGGATGCGCTTGTGCAGCCCTCCGACCTGGGTTCAACCCCAGCCACCCCACTTCGTCCCCTGGGAACCGCCAGGAATGATCCCGAGCACAGAGCCAGGAGTCAGCCCTGAGCACAGTCAGGTGTGGCCCTCCAACAAACCAAACTTCACCCAATGATAGTTGGGTCTCCCTCACAGCACACGACTCCACCCCTGACTTCCCTCCCCCCCCCGCCCGCCCACAAGACCAGCCTCAAATCTCGACCCAAATGGAGCAGAGCCAGGAAGGAATTCTATTCAGAAATGTGGGGAAAGGCCCCAAGCACCCCCACGCCATCCCCAGTCACCCGGGAATCATCCCAGATAACGCATCCACCCCGAATCAGACTCACGGAGAGCAAGGCAGGGTGCAGGAGAGGGCAGCCTGCGGGAAGAGTCTCAGGCAAGGGGCTGGCAGGCACCACGCTGCTCGGGGCAGCTGATGCCCGCCCTGGTGCTTGTTTTTTTGCTGGTGGTCTTGGATGGCCAGGGTGGGAATTGCACAGATTTCTTCCCTGAGCTAGCACCGGCCTGAAGACAAGTCTTCTCATGAAAGTAGGAGGCAGTACCAGGGATCTTTTTTGTTTTAAAGTTACGGGGTGGGGGCTGGAGCAATAGCCCAGCGGGGAGGGCGTTTGCCTTGCACGCGGCTGACCCGGGTTCGATTCCCAGCATCCCATATGGTCCCCTGAGCACCGCCAGGAGTGATTTCTGAGTGCAGAGCCAGGAGGAATCCCTGTGCATTGCCAGGTGTGACCCAAGAAGCAAAAATAAATAAATAAATAAATAAAATAAAAATAAAGTTACAGGATGCCAGTGCTTCAAAATGATGGAAACTGCGAGTGGGGTAAGCATCCTGCTGACCTGCTCCAAACCGTGATACCATGTATGGTCCCCAGACACTGCCAGGAATAGCCTCTGAGCACCACCTCTCAACTAAAAAAAAAAAAGAAGAAGAAAAAAAAACTAAAGGAAAGAGAGAAAATGGGTTGTGTGAGCACCCACAAAAATAGTGTGATACAATGGAGTACTATGTAGCTGTTAGAAAAGATGAAGTTATGAAATTTACATACATGTGATACTACATGGAAAGTATCATGATAAGCGAAATGAGTCGGAAAGAGTGGGATAGACACAGAAAGATTGCTTTCATCTGGGGAACATAAAGCAACAAAATGGGAGACTAACACCCAGGAATGGCTGAGATTAGTACCAGGAATTCTGCTCCATGACTTGGAGGCCTGCCGCACATGCTAGGGGAAAAGGGAGCTCAGATAGAGAAGGGAGCACCAAATAAAGGGTGTTGGGAGGATCCTCCCAGGACGGGAGATGCATGCGGAAAGTAGACTCTAGACCAAACATGATTGTCACCCACTGCCTCTTTTGCAAACACAACACCCAATAAGAGAGAGAGAACAAAAGGGAATGCCCTGCCACAGAGGAGGGTGGGATGGGGGGACAGGGCGTGGGAGGGATGCTGAGACCCGTGGTGGTGGAGGATGGGCACTGGTGGAGGGATGGGTACTTGATCATTGTATAACTGAAACCCAAGCACAAAAATTTGTAAGCCTACAACTGTACCTCATGGTGTCTCACTAATAAAAAAAATAAAAATAAATTTATCCTTTCAGATAAAAATAAATAAATAAATAAATAAATTAGATTTAGAGCAAAAAAAAATACTGTGATAATAGTCAGATCAGACAAGAATGATTTTTGGATTTTGTTCTGGGGCCATGCCTGGTAGTGTTCAGAGCCACTTTCTACTGGCTCTGTGCTCAGGGATCACTCTTAGTGGTGCTCATGGGACCGTCCACGGTGCCAGGGATGGAATCAGGGTCAGCTGACTGCAAGGCGAGTGCCTCAACCCCTGTACTCTCTCTCTGGCGCCAAGAATGAATTTTTTTTTTAACACAATCGGAAAGAAGCTCTGTGGGGACTTAGTCCTGACTTTTCCCTTGGGGATCACACCTGGCAATGCTGGGGGGCCAGATTGGGGTGCCAGGGGATGGAACCCACGTCAGCTGCATGCGAGGTAAGAGTCCTACCCCCTGAGGGGCTGGAGCAATAGCACAGTGGCTAGGGCGTCTGCCTTGCACGAGGCCAACCCGGATTCGATCGCCAGCATCCCCTATGGTCCCTGGAGCACCGTCAGGAGTAATTCCTGAGTGCATGAGCCAGGAGTAACCCCTGTCGCATCACTGATGTGATCGAAAAAGCAAAAAAGAAAAAAAAAGAAAGAAAAGAAGCTCTGTGCAGGCAGCTCAGATGAATGATGCTTTCTGGTCCAGCTTGTAGCGCGGCTGGGATGCAGTTTGAGAAACACTCCGTGGGCAGATGGAACGCGGACATGACCCCATCCACACAGATTCCACGGGGCACCGGAGCGCGGGAAGAGCCGCCTTTTAAACCACAATGTGGGCTTGTGTGGCGCCGATATTTCCCCTTCCTGGGGGACAATGGGCCTTTTGACTTTGCCAAGCGGGTGGGAGGAAGGAGACTGTGCCCCTGCCACATTGGGGTTCTCCAGAAGAGAGAAGAGCCCACTCACGAAGGAAAGGGCAGGGGCAGGGGTCAGCCAGGAGCTCTGGGGGCCTCTTGGGCCTTCGAAGAATTGAGCGGCAGGCCGTGGAAGGAGCATTTCTCACCAGCTCACACAAGCGCTGAGTCCACTCCTGCCTTCCCGTGCCCTCATCCCTGTTACCCGGAATCACCCCCAACCGCCCACAAAGCAGGGGGCGCTGGGCTCGGGCACACTCCACAGACCAGCACCATCTCTGTTCCCCAGCCCCCCACACAGCTCCACCCACCCCCTGCAACCCGCTGGAAGGGCCTGAGTCCGACCACCTCCACCCCCTTCCTCCCCCTCCAATGCCCCCTTCCCAATCTCATGCCTCCGCTTCTCTTTCAGGCTAACTGCAACTTCTTTCCGGAAGGCCCCCGTGGTCTCCTTACTCCTCTTTTCAAACACAATCATGTCCTTTTATCTGTAAATCCTGGGGAGGGGGGTTGCAGATGCCCTGCGCTGAGTCCAGACGGGAGGGGATGCTGGAGAGCTGAGGGGCTGAGGCAGGAGGGGGGCTCCATCCCGTCTCTGCCAGGCCTCTAGGAGCCAGACTCGGGGTCCGAGGGGGACACACGCCCCAGCAGGGTGGGGATTGGCTTCAACTTGCCCAACCAAAACTCTGAGCAGAGGGGGCCCAGAGAGCCCTTGACACCCACGTTCCCTGACCCAGAGCCTCAACCTCGCCCTTCACCTCACGCCCTCTGAACCCTCATCCCACCCCCGGACAACCCACCCAATCAGCACAGGCAGGGCTGGGTGCAAAGCTCCAGGTAGAGATGAGGCTTGTCAGCCACCAACCCGGCCCCCAGAGCCCCTTGCTGAGTTGGGGAGGAAGGGACCCACCACCCCGCTTTGCTTTGCGGGGGGTTGGGGGCGCACAGGGCCGTGCTCAGGACTTAGTCCTGACTTTTCCCCTGGGGATCACACCTGGCAATGCTGGGCGACAAGATTGGGGTGCCAGGGGATCGAACCCACGTCAGCTGCATGCGAGGTAAGAGTCCTACCCCCTGAGGGGCTACAGCAATAGCACAGCGGGTCTGCCTTGCATGAGGTCAACCCGGGTTCGATTCCCAGCATCCCATATGGTCCCCTGAGCACTGCCAGGGGTAGTTCCTGAGTGCAGAGCCAGAAGTAACCCCTGAGCATCGCCGGGTGTGACCCAAAAAAACAAAAAACAAAACAAAAAAATTATAAAAGAGTCCTACCCCATGAACTATCTCTCTGACCTCCACCCAGGATCTCTTCGTTTCCTTCCCACCGGTTTGGGGGCACACCCGGCAGTGCTCAGGGCCTCCTCTTGGCTGGGCGCTCAGGGCTCACTCCTGGGGTCCCCAGGGGACCAGGTGGGGGTGCCTGGAATGGTCCCAGTGCCAAGACAAATGCCCTCCTCCCCGGCCCCTGCCGGCAGTGTCGCGCGGCTCACTCCTCACAGCCCTCCCTGCCTGTCATCATCCCTCCGCGCCCGGGACAGAAGGGGAAACTGAGGCACAGAGGCGCCCGGGAGGCCGCGCCTGTCCCTCGCGCGCCCCCTGCCGGACAGGCCGCTCCGCGCCCGCGGCCCCGCGCGCCCGCGTGGACAATTTGGCAACTTGGCGCGGGGAGTGGGTGCCCCCGAGGTGCCCCCAACCCCGTTCCAGCGGCCCGTCCTGGAGCCGTGGCCGAGAGCCGCTGCCGGGGGGCATCCGGGCCGCAGCCGGGCCGCGCGCGCTGCTGCGTCCTGCCCGCGGGGAGCCCAGGCGCGGGTCTGGGGGCGCCGGCGCGGGGCCAGGGGCGCGGACGGGGTGCCCGGCCTGCCCGGGAGGGGGGTCCGCGCCCCGGAGAGCCGCTCGGGTCCCCCCGCCGCAGTCCCGCTGCCCCGGCCTGGGGGGCTCGCGGGGGTCCCCGCTGTCCCGAGGGTGGGGGGGGGGGGGACCGCTCACCTGCAGCGGCCGCGGCGCGCGCGGGGAGGCGGGTCTGGGGGCGCCGCCGCGGGGTCCTGCCGGGGGAGCCGGAGCCGCGGCCGCGCGTCCCCTCCCCGAGCGCTGCCCGGGCTGGCGGCTGCTGCGCGGCTCGGGGCCAGCGGGCGGCGGGGGCGGCGCCGCGGCGGGGCCGGGCGGGGCGCGGGGCGGGGGTCCGCGGCGGGGGCCCGGGGGCGGCGGGAGGCGGGGGGCGTCCCTTAGGGAAACCGAGGGGTGCAGGGGGTGACCGGAGAGGTGGGGGGGGGAGAGACCGGGCACGTGCGTGCACGGGGGTCCCCTTAAGGGACTGGAAAGGCACAGGGGGTGACCGAGTATGTGGGGGGAGTGTCAGACCCCCAAAGGGGTCCCCTTGAGAGATTGGAGAGGTGCAGAGCAATGCCCTGAGATGGGGTCCCGGAGCCCCAGAGGGCTGACTCCAGGTGGTCTCTCCCTTCTGAGAATGAGGGAGGCCTGGGAGGCCTTGGGGGACCTTGGGGAACCCCCGCCCCAGTACCCAGCCCAGGGGGAATCCGTCAGGGTTGAAACCAGGCCCAGGGGCCTTGGCCGGGAGGGAGACCGTGTGTGGTCAAGAGATGAGACGCAGGGGCCGGAGTGATAGGACAGTGGGACAGCGTTTTCTTTGCACGCAGCCGACGGGGGTTCGATCCCCAGCATCCCATAGGGTCCCTCCGTGCACAGCTAGGAGTGATTCCTGAGTGCAGAGCCAGGAGTAACCCCTGAGCATCCCTGGGTATGACCCAAAAAGCTAAAGGGAAAAAAAAAACACAAGAGATGAGATGCAGCTGAGGTCCTAGGGTCTGAGCCTGGGTGCTGGTCTTCAGGGGGGCATCATTCATGCTGAGGGGGAAAAGGACAAGTTTTCACAAAAGTCCAGGTCACTGCAAAGTGCCAGTAACGACTAACAGGGACGGGAGACCGCTTCCGACCCTGAAGGGACAAGAAAGTCGGGTTCAGACAAGACCAGAGATGACGGGCGGTCACAGACTGCTTTGGGTGGTGGGGATACTGGGCCGCCAAGGGACTGTGGGGAGAATACAGATGACCCAGCTGGGCAGTGGCAGAAAAGGCCCCAGACCCCTCCCCCAGCTCTCCTGCCCCGCCCAGCAGGGAGAGTGGGCTCAAACCCCCGCGGGCTGAGCTAATGACGACTCCAAAACGGGCACCTCCAGCCACTAAGCAGCTACACCCAGTTCAGGTTTTAACAAGCTCCAGGGCGAGGCAGGCGACCAATGGGCTTTACACCTTGGGGTGTGCCCGTCTGACCGCCCAAGTCCTCCCAGCCAAGCCTCTTGGATGGTAAACTGGATTCTGGACCAGCCTAGACACACCACCTGCAAAGGCTGGGGCTCGCCCCGGGCCTGGCTACCCGGGCACACATCCCCCAGCCCAAAGGAGAGGAGTTAACACCCCTGCGTCCGCAGCGGGGGGCCTCAGTGGTGGGCCCAGCCAAGAAGCATGTTGGGGGGACGTCTGGTCTCCGATGCCGTGCGTCCTGCAGCAGAGAATCCTTCCTGGTTCCGCCCAGCCAACATCCCTCAGGAGCAGGGAAGTGGTGCTGGAGTTTATGGGCACTTGAGTTAACCGGCGCTACCTTATTTAGCAGAAAGGCGACAGGAGTTCCGATTGGGTGAGCTGAGGGAGATGGGTGTTCCCTGGGGCAGACCTGAGTCCTACAAAGCAGCATCTCTGGGGGTGGGGGGAAGGGAGCCCGGGGGCCAAGCTGTGGCAAGAGCTTCAGGCTGGCCAGGAAGGGCAGAGGGAAAGGAAACAAAGGTTGAGTGTCTCCTCCGCCCTCAGAGCTGAGCAGAATGAACCACGCTCCCCGTTCCGACCCGAGGGGCCAGTGCAGAGCACGGTCACTAAGGGCGGCTGAGGAGAGTCCCAATCCTGCTGGTTTAGTGTCCAGAGAAGTGGCCAGCTGAAGCCAGGGTCTGCGTCACCCTCTCTCCCGGCAAGAGGAAGGGGTGTGATGTCCTGGGCCACAGGAGCGAATCAGAATCCACCAAGTGTTGAAACTGAAGCCAGTGGGCCCCGCGGGTGGCGTATGTGACCCGGGGAGGGAAGGTGGGGACGACGACGGTCACTATCTCCCATCTTCCTCTGCTCGTCCCCACCCAGTCTCTGAAGCCTAGGACTGAACGAACACGAGGAGTCAGTTCCAGACCTTACCCGGGATTATAGGTTCTCGTCTTCCTCACAGAAAATTTCAGGGGTAGGTGATCAGCTCAATGAAAACAGATTTTCTTTGGGGGTATTTAGGCACTTATTTGGAGGTATAGAGGAAGGAGGGAGGAAAAGAGAGAGTAACATGCTTGAGAGAGAACGTGGGCTTCTCCAAGGGCAGAGAGAGTCCCTCCACACATCCCAGCATTACATATGTACATATGAAAGTCCCCATCTCGAGGGGAAATGAGGGGCTGGAGTGACAGCACAGCAGGTAGGGCATTTGCCTTGCACACGGTCGACCAGAGTTTAATTCCCAGCATCCCATTGGTCCCCTGAGCACCGCCAGGAGTAATTCCTGAGTGGAGAGCCAGGAGTAACCCCTGAGCATCGCTGGGTGTGACCCAAAAAAGCAAAAATAAACAAATAAATAAAGAGGGGAGATGAGGGGGACACATGTGCTCGGTCGTGTGGGCACAAGCAGCACATGGGCTCAGGCAGCATATGCGCCCTCCCGTTGTTCAAGGCGGCTTTTATAGGGTCCCCCCTCCTTTCCACATGGGGCTTCTACTTAGGTCAAAGTCTGTTGCTAGGGAGGTTGCCAAGGGGGTAGAGTTGGGAGTGGTGATGGTCTTCTTTGAAATTCCTTTCCTAACCTTTGCTCCTGCTGAAGATTCTCTGGGCCCGGCCCCAGGTGAGGCCTGGGTTTGAGTGTTTGCAGCGTTGGCCCTATTGGTTTTATTGCTTTCTAAGAATTCCATCGCCATGGGGGTCCTTCCCTGTCTACTTGCCAACATCAAAACTACAAAGCCTTGTCAGCCCCTGGCTTCAGCTCAGCTCTGGGGGGCCAAGGAGCGTTTGAGCGTTTGAGGCTGGGCTGGGCTGGGCTGGGCTGGGCACTTACCGAGCAGCCTCTGCCCTTTAGGAACTGGCTCCCATCCAGACTTTCAACCCATCGTGGCAAACTGGAGATCTTTTCACTCTGTTTCTTTTTTTTTTAATTGTTTGATGCCTTCTTCTAGGGCAGAGTGAAATGAGACTGTCAAATGCCAAAAACTCTCCAGTGTCAGAAGCCAGGGAACAGGCCGGCTGCCAGCACTGTCCAGGGGCATCGGAAACTGGAGGGATAGCACAGTGTTTGGTCCCCAGCACCACTTAGGGGGAGCACTGCCCGTGTGGCCCCCAAAGAGAAACGGCAACGTGGAGGGGCGCTCCCCTCAGTCACTCAAGCAAAGGAACGACGGCCTCACTTGGAAGCCCAGGACGTGGGTCATTGGAGAGGAGCATGAAGAGACATTGCAAGACAGTGCCTGGGGTCCATCTCCAGCAGGGGGGTGAAGGGAGCCCCCTACCGGGGGGGAGGACGGGCTCTCTGAGCCTTAGGGGAGCGATATGCACCTGGCACCACAGCCCAGGTGAGAGGGCTTCTAAATGAAACTCCCCGCCCACCTGGGAGAGCTGTGGGAAAGTCTGGCGGGCAGACTGGCTCCGGGGAAAGCCAAGGTAGGTTTGTGGAATAGTAAGTAACGTAATAGGAGACAGACACCTAAGGACAGTGGAGATCAGGGCCAGGAGGATCGCTCCTGGAAGCTGGTCTCACGTGCCGGGAGAAAAGGCAGCCAGATGGAGAAGGGACCACTAAGTAGGTTGAGTGACGGTTGGAGGGATCGCTCGGGATGGCAGGTGTGTGCTGAAAGTAGACTATGGACCAAACATGATGGCTGCTTTGTTACCTGTACTGCAAACCATAACACCCAAAAGGAGAGAGAGAGAGAGAGAGAGAGAGAGAGAGAGAGAGAGAGAGAGAGAGAGAGAGAGAGAGACAAAGGGAATGTGCCTGCCACAGAGGTGGGGGGTGGGGGTGGGGTGGTTGGTGCCTGGGGCGGTGGTGGCAGGAGGGATCCTAGGAACATTGGGGACATTGGTGGTGGAGAATGGGCACTGGTGGAGGGATGGGTACTTGAACTCTGTATGACTGAAACGTAATCACGAAAGTTTGTTAGTCTGTAACTGTGTCTCATGGTGATTCATTAAAATAAAATTTAAAAAATAAATAAATAAATAAATAAAAAGCCAGGGGGCTGGAGCGATAGCACAGCGGGTAGGGCATTTGCCTTGCACACAGACGACCCGGGTTCGATTCCCAGCATCCCATATGGTCCCCTGAGCACTGCCAGGAGTAATTCCTGAGTGCAGAGCCAGGAATAACCCCTGTGCATCGCCAGGTGTAACCCAAAAAGGGAAAAAAAAAAAAACAATGTATGTCAAGCTCCCTGTGACGGATTCGGTCTGCCAGAAACAGTAACAACAAGTCTCACAATTTGTTGTGAGACGTTACTGGTGCCCATTTGAGCAAATCGATGAGCAACGGGAGGACAGTGCAGTGCCGCACAGTATGTGAAGAGGACACGCATACGGGGGCTGTTTCCGGTGTGGCCGAGACAGACTTCTGGACTGCTCAGGTGCTCTGCGCAGACTGGAAGGTGGGCACACTTCCGTTTTCCCTGCTGTGATGAGAACATCTGGCTTTGTTTGGGGTTTGTCTGTTTTCCACTTGGGAGAGGGGGGCGCATCCAGTCACGCTCAGGGGCTGATCCTGGTAGGTCCAGGGAAGAGGAAGTACCAGGGACCAGCCCCAGATTCTCTAGTGCAAACATGTGTGAGCCCTCTGGGCACACTACTGGCCTGCCATAGGCAGGTTTGGGACAGGAGCATAGGACAGCAGGCACAGTTAATGTCTTAGCAGCGGATTCAGTACCTGGCAGTGCTCAGGGGCTACTCAGTGCTCAGTGAGTGCTCAGTGCCCAGTGCTCAGAGGCCCTGTAGTACTGGAAATAAATCGCACGCCTCCTGCATGCCAAGCCTGTGCCACCTCTCTGGGCCCCAATCAAAAATGGGGAGAGGGGTTTGGGCCACACCCAGA